AAAACATAATGTAACCATAGGTTATTTTCTAGTGTACACTGTAACTTAACCCGTGCCAGCATGTGTTGAAATGACTCATTTGATACGAGCAGTTATCAACAATACATATCTATTGATGTGAGTAAATTCTAATGTGAATGCGTGTACAGGTGAATGTCCCTTGTAATTGCTATGCTGAGTGCTGTATGAGATAGTTGCATGCAATGTGTATGTTCTTTTCTTCGTTCAATATCTGCATTGGAGCTGTGATTGCCCAGTGACTAAACGTTTATTTCAAGTGATGTCAAAATAGGAGTGACTGCGGTTAGTAAGCACTAAATTCAACACTAACTGTGACTAGAAAGACCCAAGTCTTTACCAACAGACGAGTCAGCATAACCTTTTAACAGCCAAGGTCACCACGGATCTAGAAATATGTAATAGGAGAAAATATTAACTGGAATGGCTATATTGCTGACGGAAACAGTTTAGTAAGTGCCTGAAATAGGGGGAGAAATATATTTGAAAAAAAAAAGCAATAAATAGATAAAAATTAAAAGTATGCTGAATATTGATCACTGCAGGAGTGACATGTGGAAACTATGAATGACACGATTTTTAAAGGAGAGGCAGCTGATTTGATCACCCTTGCAAGATTTTATGGCGGCTACTAAGATGTTAATTTCACCTTAGTAATCAGAACTTTTATAATGGAGGGAGATTTGTTTGCGAGTCCTATTGTGAATATCCATAATATGTTTACGGAATCCATCTAATTTCCTACCGGTTCCCCCAATATGCATTATTGTATTGTGTAAGTGTATAAGGTGTATGTGTGTGTTTGTGTGTGTACCTAACGGCTTACACAGCGTTACAAGATTCAGAAGTATAAATGTTCCCCTAATGCAAATTATAAACCCTTCGGCAAGCGGACCCAGATCGGAAGAGTCGAAAGACAGTGCTGTAGAGTCCAGAGGTAGGCTTCATCTGACGAGTAATATCTTTATCGCTTTTAGTACCATTAAAAAGTAATACATTTTACCCCACTAGGACATCACACAAGCGATAAACACCCGGTGACACAAAGTGCTACCATATGGATGATGATCAACCGTGGAGACGTCCCGGAAACCGCGTTCAGCCACTAGACCATATATATGCCCCGGCTATATTGCGGCCCCCGGCAAGAGCCAGGGTGGAGCTTCAAAATAACGAAAAATTGCATTCCACAAAGGGGATGACTAAGACATTAATATCCCCTAAGTAATTTTCTAAACTCTTATCTTTTTCAAAATGACCTTGACTCCCAGGTCAACCTAGTCTTAAGTGGGTACCAGGTGCAGTGCCGGGAAGTAAAGGCGGCCGGCGTTCGATCCCAGCTGCGAACGATTCGTCTTGCGCTGGTTTCGTCAGTGGTATCGAGAGCTGGCCGTTGAGGGCAATGGAAAACTACTGAATGTAAAATTTGCCTAGAAAAACTACAACAGCCAAAAAATGGTGGGGTTAGTTCTGCAACGTTCTGTAAAAGATACGCAACTAACTTTTAAATTTTCATCTCTCAGCGGAGCATAGATCCTCAATCAACAGATGCCAAGCCATATTTGGACGTGTACATGATTTATTGCATATCAACGAGCGGCACGTGTTTGAAACACGGATATTACCAAACATGGACATAATGCTCATGTACACAAAATCACCACATGTGAGAGGAGATGCCGGAGGAAAGCCCCCAACCTAACCGTCCTAGATTAAGTGGAATAATGATACTACCACAGACTGTAGTAACAACACCTTGTACTAGATTCGCCGACAAACAGCAGATCAGGTTGTTTGGCCATTTCCTTAGAATACAGCAACATAAAATACGAGCACATGCACTACATTTTAGAAGATCACCTTCTAGAACAAGAGGACGGGCGCGAAATTTGGACCTACAACATTAAAAACACTTCACGCCTTCACGGCATGACAATAGCCAATGCCAGCCAGTCTGCATTGAATTGCAGATTATTCCTCTCCATGACCTTAAAAGACAGAAGTAGTTTAGGATTTTGAGGGTAATGAACAAACAGCTTTCTTTGAATGAGTTAGCCAAATTCTAGCGAATCGTCCCTAATCGATTCATCGCTTCATATAAAGGTCCCTATTCCACACCTTTAGGCGTGTTGGGTATATAGGGTTAGACCTATAATTTTATGGACCAATCGGCACTTATCGCTACACATGACACGCATGAAATATCTCAGGGCTACTGTTGTTTTTGTCACGCATTTTTGTTTGCGTCACGCACTGTTGTTTGAGTTGCGCAAAGGCTCGGCAACACGCAGACGGCATATTTAGCAACACCCCTACAATAAGATGATATATAACATTTCCATGTCGTGCCGATCGCCTTTACTTCGCATACAATTTTCTGATTATCATTTTCAGTTTCCTTCGTTCTGGAAGTCAATTCAATGGGTTTTTCAGAAAAGGGGGGGGGGGAAGGGGGGTTAAATTTGCCTCTAGGGGGATTCGAACCTATAATCACCTGGTCGGCTGGCAATCATGCTAGCCACTTGGCCATATCGGTACATTAAGTGTTTATTCGCACGATTATGCTTGTCCATCTCTCTCTTCCCCTCCTCTCCTCTCTCTTCATCTCCCCCCCCCCCCCCCCACCATTTTCACGCACACAAGCTAAGAAAAAGGGTAGTTTAAAATAATAATAATACAGCCGGGACAGGGAATCAATAACAAAATAGATTGAGTAATAAAGTGAAAGACATGCGATGGTTTGTCACTGCTGTTTATTGCAGTAACGTGCATCTGTATGCACGTGTTGATAGGCTAGGCTACTGTGTACAGCTCAACAGAGACTATTTTACATGTGTAGAGATCACACGAGAGTTCGAGCGACTATATCGTTGCAAATATTTGGTATATTATTTGGTGGCTTGCTATTTGAGACGATAGTTTTTTTTTTTTTTAAATTTCACAGCTTTTTAGAGATTGCATGTATTGAACTTATTTCTTCTCAGAAGTTAAGCTCTTAACATACTTGATATTCCCTCTTATATCCTTATTCCCCTCCTGATTCCCACCTCAATGCAACACTGTCCTTGACAGACTATTACCAGTAATCCACTTCAATAACTGTATCATTCATATCCCGCTTGCACACGTTTTTATATGGTAGTAGAAACTGACCTCGACATCTCCCAACTATCTGTAATTTCCCCTTGAGAATGACTTTAGGGACTCTACCATCCCCTTCCTTTTTTTTTTTTTTTTGAAATATCCAGAAACCATGAGTTCTTAACCGTTTGGCTCGGTACTATGGATATCGCAACCTTTCGGCCTTGATTCCATGATAAATACCGTAAATCTGGGAGAAATGTGGCTGTTCTGCCTAAATCCGGGCGTGAACCAGGACCACAAGGAGTTCGTCACCCGGTCGTCGCGAAGTCAGGTTTAGCCAACTACGCTAGCGAGCCGGGCATCCCCCTTCCTATAAGTGTTTCATAGCTGTCTGAATCTTCGAAGACTGAACATTGGGGAAACTGTTACACCTATTCTTTCCAATGCCTAAGTGGTTGTAATCTCTTCTTGCCCCTTAAATTAGTGTTAAACGGGTTAATACATTACAATAGCATAGTTTTTACTTATGCTAATGATTATTATTAGTATCATGATCATTATGATCATTCTCATCATTACAGTGTTAGCCTTGGTTGGCAGCCGGTCTAGGAGGGAAGCTTGACAAGCTCATCTGATCCGGCAGCTTCTGCAGCATTGTTGTACCTTCGTTGTAGTACACTTTATCTTCAAGAACCAAGTATTTAGGCCTAGGGTGCCTATTCAACATTCCGCTGGATATCTCCCTGATGGATGTGCTACAGTGAAGTCCTGCATACTATAACTGGCCCATTTGGCCCAGCATCATGTAATACAGTAGCTATCTTTACAAGCCAACAATAACGCTTACAACAAGCATGCTCTTTTTTCCAAACTCCCTTGGAGTTCAGACAGACTGAGGGTGGGACTATGTTGCATGGGCAATACATGGTCTCTACAACACTCTTCAGGCTTTGTGCTAAAAACAGGAGGGACTTCATCCCTGACCTTAATTGGTAGCACCATAGGCTGTGATTCTCATGTGTCCCTATAACACAGAGGAATACTGGTGGGACGGAGAGGTGCTAATAGCCAATGTAATTATTGCTGGTAAACATTACCAGGGCAAAGGCAAATCTAATATAGACAAGCACACAAGAAAATAATACCATTAATACCACTTTAGAACAAAAGCTTTATTATTTAATTATTATGCTCCATTAACAAGTTTAATGTAATCTTTATTTATATTGAGTACATTATGTTGTTTATTTTTTAAAAGGGGATAGAAAAGAAGGGGGGGGGGTGGGGGCGGGGGTGGGGGCGGGGGCAAACAGAGAAAGAGTATATATGCATATATTATTTCATGTGCTTTAGAAAAAGCATGTCTTCAGGAGATCACGTTTTTACTAAAATACTGCAAGAGTTGTTGCGGAGAGGCACAGTCGCCCACACCAGTTGGTAAGACACGTGACTATTATAAGTCAGTCTTTATTGTTTGACTTTTGGGTATTTAGGTCATTTTAATTAAAGAAAGATATTTCAGTATAGCAAATACAATACTTACTCCTTAAAAAGAAGGCAAAAACAGCAGGTAGGGGAAAGCACATTACATGTCCCTCAATTAAACAGCAACTAATCATAACATAAACTATAACTATCAAACTCAAAGGATGGAAAAAAAAGTGACACAAATACAATGTAACGTTTCGACCAAAGTCTTTATGAAAGAAAAGCTTAACAACAACAACAGCAACAAACAAACGAGCGACAAAGTCACATAAAAAGTAAATTCGAATTATAGTGGAAAATAGGGACAAGAAGAGCGTTTTCTTTCCTTATGCTTCGCTTTCAAGTTATAGTTTATTTCGTGTTAGTTACTTCTCGGGATCAGCTCGACTGCAATCGCCTCTGTCCCTGAATTAACTGGAATTGAACCAGGTCTGCAGAAACTCTTCATAACCGATCTCCCCATCGTTGTTGTGGTCAGCTTCATTGATAAGCTCATCCAGACGCTCATCTGAAAGTTTCAGACCGCTTTCCTGACACAGTCGCTTGACTTCGTTTTTATTCAGTTTGCCACTTCCATCTTTGTCGACGGATTTGAATACTTCTTCCAGCTCAGCTCGCCTGCACAGAGAAAAGAACAATACAGTCAACACAATCTTATTGTATGGTAATACAGCAATAATTTGCTTATCAAAGATAATTCGTTTTAAAATCACATTCCTCAGCGGAAATCTCCGTTAGCCTGATCGTAATGATGCGAAAATTCAACAGCCCACAACGCTGCCGTTTTTTGTGTTAGCGCAAGCATCTAGTAAAATATTCTTTAACTGAATCCAAATTCTGAGTCGAGAACGAAAAACAGCGGAAAAATATTTATTCGTTCGCCGAGGTATCACTGTAATTGTTAATGGATAGTGTACAAGAAACCCGAGAAAGCTATAATTGGAATGCTCTTTCAGTTGAATACACAGCACGAAAAAACATGCTATTGCAAATACCCCTATGCGACACCGAACAGAAGGTAGTCTCGTTGTCATTGGATCATCGTCGCTATTATCATGGTCATCGTCTCATCACCACCATCGCCACCATATCATCACCAACATAAACGACAGTGACGATCACAAGAATGGAAACTAACATGTTATTAATCTAGGATTTCATTTGTATGCCCTATGTCCTCGCAATATTTGCCTTTAACTAATTGCTGGAGAATAAATTCAGTGTCTTGGAATGGGCGAAGAAATAGAATTTCTCGAAGAAGATTAACCCACATAGCTAAATGAAAGAGGGTGTTACTGACGTTGACAAAACAAATGGCTTACGTGACTTCCTTCGGATCCTTTGCAAGCAAAGCCTTCTCAAACTCCTCCCATGAAATCAATCTGTCCTGGTTCTTGTCGATCTCAAGAAACATTTCCTGGAGTACAAATTAATTAAATACCCAAACAAATAGGTACCCTGGATGTATATTTTAATGAACAATAAGCAAAGCATGTTAACCATTACATTGTTGCCGCTTCCTCAAACTACACAGCTAATCTCAGAAAAAAAAAAAATTTAAATTTGGCCCTATTAAATATATGAATAATTAAAATATATTGCCATTTAAAGTTTTATTAAAAAAATTTTTTTTTTAGAAATGTTTGCAAAGTCGCAAAAATTATATTATATAATCCACTGAAAGGCTATAAGTTACAACTTGAAACCCCTCCTCCCTTTCCCTTTCTTTCCCTAATTTTCTAAATGCTAAATACATTAATTTAATTGATTTTAAAAAGCTACAAGTTGGAATTAAAAAAAAAAAAAAACACCTCCAAAATATTTTTTAAATTATAAAATTTTCGGGGAAACAAATTTCAAATATATATTCAAAGATAATTACATTTAAAATGTATTAAAAGAAAAGTACATTTGTTTAAAAAATGGAAAACATTTTTGATGCCCTTACAAATTGTGAAGCCGAAAGCTGTAGCTTATTTAGCTTATTATACCAAAAGCCAGCACTGCCTCTCTGACATCCAGGTCGCTGCCTGTCTGCAGTCGTTTTCTCCTTTAACCCCATTTCCTTTTGAATTTCCTGCTCTATGAGACTCGGTCCATAGCATTCTGTTCTTGCAGCAGTTACCAAGTTAAACGCTCTTATTATGATACCACACAGCTGTGTGTGTGTGTGTCACCGGTGAGTCACAACTTGTGTAGCTATTCAGGTCAACATCCCAGCACCACGCGTTGCTAACGCCACCGGTAATAGGGATATCATTAAACTGTGGCCTCCGCCCGGCTAGTTTTAGTTCTGGATAATGTCACCAAAAACCTAGAAATATTTTACACCACAGTGTAAGTATTCAAGGCTAGTTGCGTATCCTTTACAGGACGTTGCAGAACCAACCCAAGTTTTTCTAGGCAAATCCAGTAGTTTGCCATTGCTTACTGGACGGTCAGCTTTTTTGATACCACTGTCGAAATTACCGCATGGCGCATGGCCCGCAGCTGGGATCGCAACCGACATCCAGGCATTACTAAGCGTTCGCATCGACTTAGCCACAGAGTCGACTGAAAAAGTATTCAAGCGGAACATAGTTAATACAAGTAGATGTGGATCCAAAAATCGGCTGGCTAGATCCCTAGACTCTCAAATGGAAGGCATAGGTTCGAATCCACGGTAAAGTTGCCCACAAATATAACCCTTATCTGCATAGTCCGTGGCGACAGCACTAGCCATGCGGCCCTAATTACCAAAGCTCAAAGACCTCCCTGCTACACCAAAATTGTGGTAAATATAGACATTAGTGACAGAGATGGAGTTATGGGATCATGAATTGTTTTATGAAAACAAACCAGTGGATAGTACACTCATGTCGTACACCACTCTTTGTACTTCCATTAATGTTTAATTTTTCTAGTAGTTTAATTATTTCTTCACGTTTCACACTCAGATGCTTTCGTATAGCAACCATGTCTTCATGTTTCACACATTTAAAGCTTACGTTTAGTGACCATGTCTTCATGTTTCAAACAATCAAATGTTTCCGTATACTGACTATGTCTTCATGTTTCACACAAACATATTTATTTCTACAGCTCTTTCCTACAGTCCTGAGAATGTATATGACACCGTTGGTACCTTTTTTTCTGCAGATTTACATCCTTAATTAATTTCTGATGTGGTCTTGAGTATTTATTCTTCACATAATTATTCTATCAAAAGTTAGTTGTGTATCCTTTACAGGACGTTGCAGAAACAACTCCAGCATTTTTTGTCTGTTGTGGTTTTTTTGGGACAAATTTACGTCATATAGTTTGTCATTAAACTACTGGACGTAAATTTGCCTAGAGAAACCGCAGAACAGCCAGGGGCTGCTGGGGTTGGTTCTGCAACGTCCTGTAAAGGATACGCAACTAACCTTAAGTTTTTTATTGCTACTACTGTACGGTCAGCTCTCGATACCAATGTCGTAACCAACGCAAGGCGGTCTGCCAAATCACCTGCAGCTGGGATCGAACTTGACAAACCCGGCATTACTAAGGGCGTTCTCGGCGTTTAAGCCGGAAACGCCGACTTTTCTACAAAACAGAACTTTAACGAGTTCAAATCAAATCTATAAACCTGTTATTATTCGACACCTCAAAACCGAATTAATTCATATTGAGCTCTACGAAACAAATAACTGAAGCCAGATGTTGTTAACACAGCAAGGTGTTCTTTAGTGTTCTTGTTGCTATCTGCGTCAGACGGTTTAGCAGCAGCTGTAACATATCATCCAGCAGAGAGTCAATTGTTTATCCGTGACCTTCAGCGATTAGTGTTAACATACCGTCGCTTTCAAGCTGTTTCTATGATATCCGCATAATTAATCCAGTCCACGTTTTTGTGTCGTACAGATCGGGCTGACAATTTCACACCACACACTCACTTACACATATACACTCACACATACATCAAACAAACATACATATTCTCAAACACACATACCCACACACGCTCACTCACATACACACTAACACACACAGTCACACACCCCCATAAACACACACTCACGCATACATTAAACATACATATTCTCAAATACACATACCCACACACACTCACTCACATACACACTAAAACACACAGACATAAACACACACTCACACATAAACACTAGCAACACGGCAATCTGTTATCATACTGTGATCTCAATGTCATTGTAACCATCAAGTGAATGGTATGAGCGCTAGTATTCCGAGTGTGGATTCTGTGGCCCCATCTTGTAAATGGAAGGTGGGGTTGGGGGGGGGGGGGGGGGGGGGTTAACTTATTGCCCCTTAGCAAGCATGAAATCATGAAATCAGACGAATGCTAGGAATAAAGCCAGTCTTACAAGTCATCAAAGAACAACAAATCAAGTGGTTTGGACACCTAACAAGAATGCCCTGGTACTATCTGCCACAGCGAGCCACACTAAAACGTTACAACGGGTATAGAGCGAGTGGAAGACCTCGGAAAATATGGAGTGATGGCGTTAGGAACAGCCTTACAGAAATGACTGAACATTAGCCTTAATAGTGCTCTTTTCAGAGTTCATCAACGAATATTACATCTCCACCCCCCCCCCCCCCCCCCCCCCCCCCCCCCCACCCGACACTTGGATGAGGTACAAGGTGGAAGAGAAGAAGAAGAAGAAGCAAGCATGTTGTAAAAGGCAGCTAATAAGGAGTTTGCTGAAATCCGATAGGTTCGGACCAAAAGGATATCGCAGCGTAGATGTAAACTACGGAATAATATGACAACCGCACAATTTAGAGGAACCACACAAAAAGTACGGTGCAGGCCGTCACATCTGTCCATAGATCCATGTGTTTATTGCCAAGATAGGCTAGTGCGCCGACACAAAGAAAATATTGGAAAGAGTGGAGGAAAAAAAAGGGGGAGGGAAGCGCTTAGCCTCCGCACAAATGTTTTTAGGAAAAAAGGTGACGAGGGCAGGAGGGGGGTTGAGGTAAAAAAGCTAAAGAATTTTAGATAAATTAATAATGATAATAGTAATAATTAATAATTATTATTCTTGGTTCTCAACAACCCCTTGCTTGCTTCCTTGCTTGTTTGCCTTCCACGTGCCTCTCCAGTGTGGTTTTTATAAGGGTGTTATGTGTTTTAAAATAGCCCGAATATTTCATTTATCTCTTCTGGATTTCCTTCCGCAACTCTCCCTTCCTGATCTCATCAGAACATTTGTATTTGATTGTTTTTGCTTCAATGAAATACGACCTACTCTTCTGTACATCTACATCTCTAGAGAATCATTCCTTCGAAGTCGGAGTGTATCTGCCTGAGAGGCAAGAAACCAGAAGTCTGCATACAAATGAGTCAGATCTGTAAAACTGATGCACACGCAATACTCAGGTTCTGGAACCGGACTGCAGTCCAAAAGTGGATGAACAACCAGAACTTTCTGCCAGAGTTTACAGCTGGTGAACGCGAAGAAGAAGAAAAAGAAGATTTTACCTTACCTTTTACATCACATAACCCCCCCCCCCCCGTGTTGGTTCCGGGGCCCTATTGTTGGGAAAAGTAGAACAGACCCACTGCCTCCACAAAAAGCATGTCGTAAGAGACGATTAACTGGGGGCTTCCTTTGAAGTAGGAGTGCATCTGCCTGAGAGGCAGGGAACCAAAAGTCTGCATACAAATAAGTCAGATCTGTAAAACAGATGCACACGCAAAACTCAGGTCCTGAAACAATGCCAAAGTCCAGAAATGGACGAACAACCAGGTCTTTGCACCGCAGTTTATATCCGGTGAACGCAAACAACAAACAACAACATAATCCTATCCTAAACATATTTTCAGAATTTGTGTTGTAGTTAACATACTGAGCTACGGAAATGGTGAATTGTGTTGACATATATTTGAGTGAACTGTGTTGATAACTCTTGAATTATGTTGAGACCTCTTTAAACTGTGTTGAGACCTTTTCAAATAAACTATTTTGATACCTCTTCGAGTGATCTGTATTGTTACATCTTCGTGTTAACTGTGGTGATATCTTCTCGAGTAAACTGTACCGAGACCTATTTAAATGATCCGTAAATAGAGACCTGAGGACACGTAGAGTCAAGATATCCGAGTGTATGCTGAAAGTGAGCCTGAATTCACTTTATGAGCGAGCTTACCATCTATTTTGTGACGTGAGCTGAAATCTTATCCCGGTGAGCTATGCTGAACATTGAGCAAGACTATACAAGGTGGTTGATCTTCATGTGACCAAGTCTACAATTTTCTTCCAAATCCACACTCAGAACTCCACAAATGTCTCTGACCCTTTAACAGAATCAACAGTTTTAGGTTCACGCCATTCCGGAAGTATGCCTGCTAGAACGGATTTGGCTGACGTAATATTTATTTTCGTTTAATAAACGTAAGTCACACAAGACGGTGGAAAGCGACTGGCAGTCACGTGACTATGAAAGAACAATAATATGTCACACATTGCTGGCGGTTAGGTATACTTGTTGACGATCAATCAAACAGATACCGTCTTCACAATGAAGGTTAGCATCACAAGATCTCCGACACTTTATGTATCTGGTCTTGGTTGTACTCTCTGAGAGTTGCTGTTTGTTCATCTCTTGATGGTATCTTTCCATTCGTTCACTGTTGATTTCAAGATGATCTTCACTGCAAGGCGGGCATAGCCATAGGTTATGAGTTATGGGTTATCTTCACAGCACTCCGGACACATCCATAGGCGCTCAGATTTCCCTCTCAACATATTCATCAGCGTCGCGTGGTTAATAGTGCCAGTGCTATGTTGGTTGACAAGACTTCGTGTGCGTCCGGTATGCTTCTAATGCTTGGCTGTGCCTATCTTAACTCCCAATTCTCGTATTCTTAGCAGTGATGTGGACACGTTGCTCCCAAAATCCTCAGAACGTCCTGTCTCTCTAAGGGCAATGACAATGTGTGACAGTACTGATTACAGTCACGTTTATTAAAAGAAGGAGATATAAGGAAAGAAACACACAGAGGAATAAGGAGGTATAGAGTCGCTTGAGGATAAGCAGGTCGCTGCGAGGTATAAAATATAGCAATCTTGAGGTCGTGGACTTTACGCGTAGGTGCGGGGCCAAGCCAGGACATGAACTGTTGTAGGCCAAAATACCCATTAACCGCGGAAGGAAGAGACAAAGAAACACACAGAGGAATAAGGAGGTATAGAGTCGCTTGAGGATAAGCAGGTCGCTGCGAGGTATAAAATATAGCAATCTTGAGGTCGTGGACTTTACGCGTAGGTGCGGGGCCAAGCCAGGACATGAACTGTTGTAGGCCAAAATACCCATTAACCGCGGAAGGAAGAAACTGGGGTTGAAAGTACACCCAGCATTGGACTAGAAAGACAGACAAAGATGCTGGTAGGATGACCTTTAAGGGACAGTTGAACTAAGAACGATAGTTGAGAATTTGCATAAACTAACCAGGCTTTGGAAAATTCCCAGAAAGTAAAACTTGCTAGAGCAGCATACACCTACCGCAACACAAAGAGAAGATGGCCCAGCTTAGAGAAGTCACGAGGGGATTGACCCAAAAGGAA